TTCTATATCAAATGCGACGATGAATGTTCAGATCTTATGCCAGTGGCAGCGGTTGTACCCCAAGGCAGCGTACTAGGACCAATATTATACCTTATATACACAGCAGACATCCCAAACCCACTGACCCTTGGTTCCATGATTGCAACCTTTGCTGACGATACAGTGATAATGGCCCATGAATAAAAATAGATGACTAAATCCTGAAACTAAGTACAAGTGCAAAATACCTTGGACTCACTATTGACTCAAAACTCACTCGGAGAAGACATATAATAAAAAACGAAACGAAGTAAAAAGCAAATTTCGGCAACTCCATTGGCTTCTGGGAAGACAATCAAACTTAAACGTATCCAACAATCTACTAATCTATAAAACAATAATAAGACCAATCTGAACATTGCTGGACTGAACAACCTCATCATAATACAAAGAGCACAGTTGAAAATATTAAGATTAATATCTAACTCAGACAGATACACATCAAATGACCACATCCACAGAGAGCTAAGCACACAGACGATCCCAGAGATAATTAAGCAGAGTTGCATAATCCACATTCAAAAAATACTTTCGCACCAGAATCAAAGCCAAAGAGATATTCCGAGAAGAGAAGCACAACCAAGAAGACTAAAAGGGAGAACTCCCACAGCACTAGCGCACCAATAATTTGTTGGTGTTGGTTATAAGCTAAACCCACATGGTGTCTTCAAGAAAAATGACTTATTATTCAATTGAATATATTGTAATGCATAAAGGGGTTAATTAAAAAAAAAATGTATTTCGTATCTCGGAGGTTATTCGGTTTACTTGTTCAATGGTTCCGTGTTTCTCGCGGAAACCAAATTGATGGCTTGGGATGGCATTATGAGACTGCAGGTGTTCCTTTATACCAGTGGTTCCCAAAATTATTTTGTCTACTGTCCACTTTGAGAATAAATATATTTTTTTAGTGCCCCCCTTTTTTCACCTATTTAAAAACCACTATAGCTTCTGTTGGGTCAGTGAGCTTTTTTACTAACACTAACCTTTGGTGGTGCCCAAGTAAAATAAACCCGCACTAATTTCCAACTAAATATGCACTTATTTATTTTAATGGTACCAAGGCCTTAATGTACAAAGTTAATGAGAATGTGTTGGGCAGGCAGACCGAATTGTCTGTGCCTTTAAACAAACGAAAAAATAGGCAGGCGATCTGCGATTGTGCCTTCAGCGAGCAAGTATCCATTCGAACTATAAAGCTGCTTGCCGTAAACAAAGGGTCAGGCAGCGATAAGCAAAAGAGTACAAAATAAGTTAGCAATTATAATTATTACAAGAGTTGCCACGCAGGGCAAATAGCAAAACTAAGCAAACATCGACAATTTAAATTTTTTACGATTTGAATTTAGTCACTCGAGTTAGGCTGCGGCATGACCTAATAAATTCAAATTAAATTAATTAATTATTGTGACCTATGTATATATGTATATTAACGGAGAATTCTAAACGAAACTTTTACTATAACCCGCAACTTGAAATCTGAGAGCAGTTGGTAACATACAACGGCGCATAGGTCTCAAGTTAACTCTTACGGGCTCCTCCTGCCCATAAGAATGTTTATCGTAACGCAACTTTATAGTAATAGAGTATAATATAGAGTATCTTTTATTAAAAATATAACTAAATTAAATCAATCCTTATATAAAAACTAATGTGAAGGATGAATCTGATGCTGTTTAATAAGTTTGTTGATATCAGGTTCCAATTTCTTTCTGGGTCTCTTACCGCCCCCCTTGAGACCTGCAGCCTCCACAAGGGGACGTTATCGCCCACTTCGGGAATGACTGCTGTATAAGATTCAGGAGCAGCTTTTTCACATATCTTTGATGGGCACGGCCGAAGAGTAATTGACCTATATGGTGAAGGCTGGGAATTGTCTTTTTCGGCTTTATGGATCATAGTGATGAGAGACTTTTTCCATTGTTGTGGATAATAGCCCCATTTTATCATACCAATCTGTTTTACTGGAAGTTAGAAGATGAGTTTGTTTTGAAAGCTATGGATGGTCGTAGAGAAGAAGTAAAATGGGCGAGTGATCCGATGAAAGATCTGTTAAATCCATCAGATCAGGCTTGTTAGGATCTATTGGCCAACATGTAGGCTTAGCTGGAGTGATAAGGTCTAGCTTGTTTCTTGGTGTTATTATAGCGTTATAGCGACAGCTGTCTTCCTTTGGAGTTGGTGAGTCGAGACCCCAATGGTTGTGTTTCGCATTGTAATCACCAGCCGCTATAAAACGGTCACCTAATAGGTCAAGAGCTGTACAAATTCATCTTCGGAAAAGAAACAGCGGAGTGAGCAGTAAAAAGCGGATAGGTTTAAGAAACCTCTTTGGGTATCGATGTGTATTGATGTAGCTTGTAAAAGGGTTGTTGCGAATGATGGCAACTCATAATGCCTGATGCGTTTCTTGATCAGTATGCCAGTGCCGCCATGAGCCTTGCCATCAGGATGGTTTGTTTTATAAAATGTATAGCCATTAGGGTGAGAATAGTTTTTGTTTGTTAGGTGAGTCTCTGATATAAGCATGGCGTCAATGTCATACTGTATACTCGTATTTGTGCAGAGAAATGCCGTTATCGTTACTAGCATTGCTTCTACGCCATTAGGCAATTGTGTATTTGCATTCGCATGTTGGCCAGTGGTTTCTGGAGTCTGGTTCAATATTTGTTGCCGCACTGTATCAGCAGTGGTTTGCTGGACTGTAACCTTAGATACTGTGGCGTTCGCTCCGTTGTTGTTACTTAAAGCCTGTGCAAAAGAGACTCCTGGGATCGTGGTCGTTGATATAAATGGAGAACTGTTTCGGGTTACAGGATTTCGAGCAGTTATGTGTTGGCCTAGTCGACTTTTCAACTCTTAATAGACAGGACGACCTCTGTAATTTGCAGTGTGGTTTCCCCCAAAATTACTACATTTTTTGGCAGAATGGTTATCCTTTTTTATTGGGCAGGCCTCCGTTGAGTGTACATTTCCGCAGGCAACGCAGACCGCACGTAGAGTGCAGTACGTCTTCGTATGACCATATTCCTGACAATTCATACATTGCACGGGCCCATTCCGTTTGTGGGGCTCATCAACGGTGGACTTCATTGTTTTTTAATTTCATAGTTTCCGGCTCCAACTCTACCTTGAACATTGGCTGCGGAACTTTGTTTTTATTTAATATATTCATAGCCTGTTTGACATCAAAGCCTTTTTCTTTAAGTCCAGCTATGATCTCATATAGGTATAGGGACTGTTGCTTCGATACCTTTTATTACTACGTGTAGTCCTTTGCCACTTTTAAATTGGTAGGTGTAGTAACTTATTTTTCCGTTGTCAAGGTGTTTGGCAACAGATCGATAGTCTTGTTCGTTGTCCACTTGAATTTTTGTTTCATTTATGTTACCCCTTTTTAAGGATTTAACATAGAAATTGTTTGCTCCTATTTGATCCGTTATTTTTTTGACCAATTCAGAACAATTTGCTGACGTACAAAAATTGGTGGTGGCCTTAGTTGCTTGGTCTGAGGTTTTTGGGCGGTATTGTCTTCTTTTGGGTCACTTAGAATAGAAAATCGATTTCTTGTTAGCGCATTGTTTGGTACAGTGGCTTCAACTTTCTTCGTGACTTTTGATGCATTTGTTTTTTCAGCTGCTTGTGGGATTAATTTTCTTTTAATTTGCACGAACCGATCGGTTCCTGTTTGAATTAACGATTCGTTAACATTTTTAGTATTTTTGGGTTGGGCATTGGCTAGCATGTCAGTAAGGGCTGACGAAATAGAAACTGCAGTTGATGTGGTTGTTGTCGCCATTAGTGTCGATGTCACCGTCTTAAACGATGGCATTGTGCTGGTCGTTGTTGTTATCAGCAGATCGTTGGGTAAAGTTGTGCTTTAGCGGCTTTTGCTAAAAATGGTCTAGGAATTTTATTTTTTTTTTTTTAAAGGATACCTTGGGGCCTAAACATTAATAAAAAAGTGGCGGAAAGCTTGATTTCTAATTATTTATTTGTAAAAATAGCAAAAAAAGCAACTGGCCATAGCTTTCCTGGGTATTCACTCAGTACTATAAAATCACTCTGAGTCATTTCGCAACCTTTACAGCGTTCAGTACTAATATTGGCAGTGTCTGACATGGTGAAATTGTTTAATTTCTTTTGTTTTTAAATTTTCACTCAATTGCAGCACTCTTCATTCACAATACATTTTTCGCGGTAAAGTTTTTCGCTTGAAAAACATGGCAATGTTCTAAAACGGGTTGTCTCGCGGCAGTGATAATTGCTGTTTTAACACATAAATAATTAAAATTTACGCTTTCCGCCATTTTTTTTATTAATGTTTAGGCCCCAAGGTATTCCTTAAAAAAAAAAAAAACATTCCTAGCCCGTTTTTAGCAAAAGCCGCTAAAGCACAACTTTACCGATCGTTGGTAATATTGTAGGGGTCCGGGGCTTTGTTTATGATCAGCTGTATTATTGTTTATTTTAGTAATTTTAACACTACTTGAAATAATTCCATAGGCAACACGAGTACATGTACCCATTCGCGACCTCACCGTCTTTTCGAGAAGTGGAATTCGGCTATTTGCGATGTATTTTTAATTACAGGGCGGAGCGATATAAAAACACGTCTGTCGCAAGAGTGTGAATAGATAAATTAATTGTTAAATTGTTAATTGCTTCCAAGCGAAACATCACAATGTTTCTTAAATTTCAGTTCTAAATTATTTATTGTATAATTTAGTATTAGTCAAGGGTACTCTCCACCGGCATATCTGGGTGCCTTTTTTAACGTCAAATCCGACTTCTGCGGTCTTAGAGTTATCGTTTTCGACAGTAAAGTCTCATGCAGTGCGTATGAGCTATTATAATTATTATGAGTGAAGTCATCTGCAACGTATGTATGTGTAAACCAAGTATAATGCACTTGGCCAAACCCATCTTATGAATTATAAAGTTCGTTGCAATGAAGGTATCGATATGTTTGTATTGTGGGCAGCTCTTAAATTAATACATGACAATACACCAGTAGTTTTTTATACGGAAATATACTCAAAGAACTTTATTTTTGGTTCATTTTATTATGTTATCGTTTTAGGTGTTATTATTCACATATATTTAAAATGGCGGACAGACTTACCCAGTTGCAAGACACCGTTAACCAGGTAAACAAACAAAATATAATGTTAATTATGAATTGAAGACATTGTTTTGGTTTGTTGGTTTATTTTCAGCAAGCGGAGCACTTTTGCAATGCTATCGGTGTCATACAACAAACCTCTTATCCAAGTAAATTTGTGAATTTCGAACGAACAGGTTCCCAAACGCCAAATCCTTGTCAGCCTCAAGAGGACTATGCTCAGCTGTTTGCTCAACTAATTGCAAGGTGTGCAAAGGATATTGACACATTGATTGAGTCATTACCAAATGAAGACAGTTCCATAGAACTTCAAAATTCTAGCCTTAAGAGACTTGAGTTCGAAAATCAACAAACTGCACATAACCTTGAGGAAGTGGTTAAAAAGGGCGAACTCTTGCTGGAAAAAATTCAGTCTGCTTTAGAAAACATCGCCCAAGCCCAGTTGGATATGCAAACAACAGTCAAGCCTTTTTTGAAATAACAGCAAAATTAAAAAAAAAATTATACTGTCTTTTTCTCGCTTTTGCTTATAGTTTTCTTTTTTTTTTTTTTTTTTATTAATTTCACTATTTACAGAATACCATCAATTTCTCTAAATTAAAAAACCTCTTTTTTTCAATATACCAACAACTAAAATAGCTCATATACATATATCTAGTTGCAAATGGTTTTTATTTGTTTTTATAACTTTCTGAATTGGCTGTATAGCTGAAAAGGAAATATTACTAATAACTATATTTACAGAGGGTTATAACTTTATCTTTAACATAAAATGTAAATTTACTTGGCTCAAAATATCTAATTTACAGTTTTAAATTCTTGTATAATTTAGGATTAGTTAAGGGTGCCCCGGCATCCTTGGGCGCCGCATAAGCAAGGTATTTTTTCTTCCTCCAAAGGAAACTTATAATCGTACGTTATTTCTTCATTAACGCCAATTGGTTGCTTTGAATATATAACGATCTTTTTTCAGACTCTATAGTAATGACTTTAGCATAGCAATTCGGCTGTAAGTCAAAAAAATTTATCAACAATCTTTTAAATAATAAAATCAGGTATACTTACATTGCAACTGTGATTTATGAATCGAGCTAAGTTCCCACATTTAGTAGCATCGATTATTGTTTCCATGTCGATTCGAAAAAGATAGGAACTACCTATTCCAATCGCTTCATACTTTGTTTCTCTTAAATCAGCAACGACTGGACGAATCATTTGGCCCACATATTCAATAACCATTTCGTCTGCGGCTATAGGCTCCATTGCAAATAGTCCCCAGTCGTGTATCGCCGATTTTGCAAACTTAAGCTGTTTCTTCCGAAATTTGAGCTGATTAAATTTCAAAAGCTCCGACTCACCCATGGAACCGAAAGCTGTCAAAAGTCGACGTTGGTTTGATCGCGCTTCCCGGGAAATTCCTTGCATTTTGGATATTAATTTATTATGATGGTGGTTTGTAAGTGCTGTGGGTTCGTCGCTACGGTCATCATTATTGGAATCCTCGATATTAGCTTTAGCATGGTGATACTTGTGTTTAGCCTTCTCTCGCAAATCCAACTTGTAAAATCCTTCAGTTCGAGCACATCCGGTCTTGTGACGCATCAGCTCATCATCTTTTCTACGTTTCTTTGGTGGCGGTGGCCAAAATGATCGATCAGTTGTACAGTGATCTACCCAATGGGTGTTATTTAAGAACATACTAGAAAAAACATAGGTTTTAAAAACAATAAAAATATTTATTTAAAAATACTTACGCATATGGCTCCTTTTGCAAATGGTCTACATAACTCTTTTTAATAAAGTTTATATCTTCTGCATCTATTCCCTTCGTAAGAAAAGTGTATAAAATAACCATTTCCTCATTTTGATCACGAGCTTTATACATCTCATATGGAACAAAAGAGGACGTTTGGCGTGCAAACTCGGCCAATGAATTTGTAATTGGAGCAACTTTATTCTTTACATTTGCTGTGCGGGGAATTAAATCTTTCTTTTTTCTCTGTGTACGACTAGAATCTTTTCGGGGTCTGCCTGGACCTGACCTCATCATTTGGTCATCACCAGGAATGTTTTTCTGCTCACGTGCCAAATTTGTTTTACTATCATGCAAAGCACTAGAATGACTGTCCCCAAAAGAAACTGACTGTGCCTGGGGTGGCAACGAATAGCAATGCTCTAAGGCAACCTGACTAGCTTGCGACGCTTGGCTGGATCCTCCGTCTGAAGAGGCAGGTGACTGCGTTCCTTTGCTTTCTTCCTTTAAAATTGGACATATTTTATTTTCAACAACTGAAACTTTGGGGGCCTCTTTTGTCAGTACTGTTTTGGTATAAACATCGTTTTTACTATTTAAGTTTTTGAGAGGGTTTACATTTTCCACAAGTTCGTTTGAAATTGGGATTCCAGGACTCGTTTGAGAGATGGGATGGCATTGAATTTCTTCAATCTTGAGATTTGTAAACTTTCTGCTTGCCAATATGGGATCAAAGAGCGGCCCGCTTTCATCCAAAGCGACTTCAATCTTTCTTTCTTGCTCCTCTAAAAATTCCCTTTCGATTTGGGCCATGTATTCCGTATTTCTTCTTCTCTTCTCCTGATACTCTCGCTCTTCATCAGAGTCACTGTAAATTCTATCATATTCGAAAATGGACTTTTGTTTATTATCTGTCTTTTGAATTGCTTCTTCGTCGTAATCTGGTGGCGGGACAGGTGTTAAGGATCGACGACATTCTTCATTGATTTTTGGTGTACTTTGCATCTCGGATCCAAACTTTTGGTCAATCTCGCTTTCTTCCAATCCGAAGCAACTATCTTTACTTATATCTTCAAGATCTGGCGGAATTGATGAAAATATCTTTTCTTGAAACGAAGGCAACAGAGTATCTAATTTAACATTTTCGTTTTCTTCGTCGGTATCAGAATATATATTATTTTTTTTTGTGCGGCCTCGTTTAGCTATGTTTGCTTTTTTATATTCATCACAGTTAGAATATTCATTTGTTATGCTGTTATCTGTATTAACTCGCACACCTCCACGGCTTCTATTCTTTATCAGTTTTTTCCGTTGATTTATTCTTCTTCGATTATGTTCTTCAAGACTATCGTCTGCACTGCTCCTTTCCTTTTCAAGGAATTCGTTGCCCTCATATTCAGCTTCAGTGGATGAGGATGAAGCCGAATAAGAAAAGAAACTTGAAGCACTTCCCTTTCTTTTTGAATTAAGTCCCGATGTCTGCGATTTAGAATCACTATCAATGACCACAATTTGACCCTTCAAAGTTGAAGGTGCCATGTCAGAGCATCCCATATTGGAGTCTTCCTTTTCAGAGTCCGAACGTTGAACCATTTCCTCCTGATCACTTAAATCTCTTTCCGAAAAATTTCTTAAGTTAGGAATAGGACTAGGACGTTTTCGTATTCGCCTAAATGATGGCAACTTGGGCATTGCTGCTCTTAATCCTATACTCGAGAACGTTTGAAAATCTGCTACTTCCAGTTGTGAATTGATAAGATGATTAATGTCAGGAGGCTTTTCGTTACAAGGTGTTTCTTTAGGAAAATGTAAGTTTCTATTATAGGTGGATTCTGCAACTTCGGGAAGTGGTTTCGACCTCGCTTTGAATTTATGCTCGTCCCACCATGTCTCAAAATTTTTAAACGCAGTTATTTCAATCATGCGCTTATTTACATCTTTTTTTAAAATCTGCTTCAACTCTTCGACAATATAGTTAACAACCTTTTTTACTTTTTGTCTTATCTCATCGTTTTGATCTGAAAGAGTAGTTCTATGATAGCCATATGTCTCAGCAAAGGAATCAAAGCTATATGAACCAACGCCAGTCAAGTAATCAGGCTGCATATAGGTTGTATTTGAAAAATATCGGCTAGTCAAACCAGAGTTTGGCCGGATAGCGGACTGAAAGTATCCGTAGCCAGACGCATGGTAATAATAAGGATACTGATCTGAAGAGTTTGGACACATGAAAGAAGCTGGTAAAATGGGTTTTTTATAATCACCATCTTCCAATGTCAATATATTTTGCATGGGATCTTCATGAGAAGATAAACTCGATAAGGACATATTGTCATCATTTTTTTCTTTTTTACTTGAATTACTAAGTTTAGACCCTTCCTTTTTAACAATTATTTCGTCGTCACTAGATATATCACTTGCTCCGTTTGGCTTTTGATGTTTTATATTCTTGGTGGTTGAATTTATTTTGTTCTCAGAATAACTCTCAGAGGATACCTCGGGTTTGCCCTTATCCGTCTCGGAGTCACTACTATCCATTTGAAGAAAGGGAGGGGCATTACCAAATGATTTTCCTTTAAATATTAAAGCTATGCGTGTATCTAAGTCAACGTTCCCTGGTTCTATCCCTGGTCCTGCAACTGTCTTTGTTGTAGTCGCTTTTGGCGTTTGAGGCCTTTCGCTGACGGGCTGGGTAGGTTGTGTAATAACATTTTTAATATGATTTTGTTCTTCACCATCCCAATTTTCTTCTTCTTCTGGCGGTGGTGGGGGAGGAGGTTGGGGCTGGAAATCAGGCTGTGGTGCAGTCCAATTTCTTTGATCAGGCCATGTTTGAATATTTTCAATTGAAGAGTATGAGTAGTTATTATATCCGTAGCTCTCATCAGGCAATCCTGAATAGTAATGATGACTATTTATATTGGAGGAGCTTCTAACATTTGCTTCGGTGTATTCATGCCGTTTATTATACTTAACACCGTCAAGATCTCTTTTACCAAGTTCGGACCTTTCACGATCTCTTTCGCGATATGCTCGCTCTTTCATAGAGTTATATCGATGGTCTCTTTTTTCTCTGGATGGGTCTCGAACTTTGTCGCGAGCCCTTTTGCATTCACGAAATGTGTCTCGCTCCCTAGAACGCCTATAATGGCGTGGGCGCAAATCTGCTTCTTTAGCTTTATCTTTTCCAATAAATAATCTATCACGGACAACTTCCGGGCTTATATCTCGCGACCGCTGACGATAAAAGCTACGATCATGCCTTAGCGAGGTTGGGTACTTGTCACGCAATCCACGATCTCGTTCATAAATTTGCTCCGATGAATGTCGACTACGGTCTTTAAATTGACGTTCTCTTTCTCTTTCCCTGTCACGATCCCAGTTTCGATCTCTACTGCGTTCTCCAGCTTTAATGTCTTGATTATTTTGGAAAGAGCTGTAAGTACAATTTAGGTGATCAGCAGTATCCTTATCAACAAATCCGTGCTTAAATTCCACATCCAGAGAACCATCATGTTGCAGGATTGATTTTAAAGTTCCTTTCCCAGCTATTGGTGGTTTTGCAACAGCAGGATTTGTAAGGCTGTCGAGAGTTTTCTTTAAAATGGCACCAAAAGGATCGCAAAACACATTTAATATCTAAAATATTCACATTTAAATATAATACACAAATTAAAAATATAAACATTATTTACCTTTCCCATTACCGATTTCTGATTGTATTTCTCAACAAACTGTCGTGCTCCCTTTGTACTTTCGAAGACGATACGAGCAATGCCCAAATGTTTGTTTGTGGTCGGATGATAATAAATATTTATTTCATCGGAAGTTCCACATTTTTCCAGCATGTTAAATAGAAACTGTTTGTCGATGTTGTCATTAAGGTTGACCAGAGTAACTTCGATAGCAGGTGGCTGGCCAACATAGTCCGAATCGATTACAAATCTACGGAAAATAATTAAAGACCTGTGCATACATCCGATTTGAGTTAGATATCTCACCGAGGTATTAAAAGCATAAGTGGCTCTACAGCTCTGGGGCGTATGCGAATAAGAGGATTCCGGGGGTCCCTTGGCGTTATTGGCGGATAAGTAGGGTCTCCGGGAACAACGCCATCGTAACGAATGAGTTTGGCGCCACATTTTATTAATTGTGGATCAGCTAACAGTTTAAAGTTACGGTGCGTTTTTGAGTTGGACAAAGACAAAACATGGTTGCTATCACGAGGGTCCTGCATCTGCGGCAAAGGATATTTCTGTTAGATTATTAATTTATATTAACGCTGTACCTCCAGATACCACTCATATCAGTGCTTGACACTTGTTTTTGGTATATAGCAGATCGCCACGTTCACAAGAGCTACATAAAATAGTAAAAACTTTTTTGATACTATACTTTTGCTTTAATTCAGGTGGTACACCAATTTCCAGCATAGGATAAACGGAAGATTATTTAATTTTTAGGATTGCTGCAAAAACCCAGAAAGTATTTTCCAGTGTTTTGTTTTGCGTATTTTAATATATGAAAATGTTCCGATAAAGTGGATGAATCTTTTATGGGACAGACCCATTAATCCAAGCAGCACTTCTAGTCAAAGAACTGAAGCCCTGATGCTGACTTGATCTTTACATATTTTTATATTATTTGAGCAACGCATAAAGCCCTTTAATAGCACATTATAACTCATATTAAGACGAACAGCAAAAACACAAAGAAAAACGAGGGTTCTTACTTGTAAGGGTGATATTTAAACGCTATCGATGTTTTTATCGACATTATAGCGAATTCCCACACCGTACCATCAAATTACTGCATTGTCCTAATATTCTTGCAGTTGCCAAATTCTTTGTTTGTATCACTTATGTGATTACGTAAAAAAATAAAATATTTAAAAAAATAAGATTTTTAGTGCCGGGACTGGCTTTGACCTGCTAAGTAGTAGCAATGTTTTGCTTTATTGTTAGGTTCTTACAATTCGCAAAATGTTCTTATTGACTTCTATTCGAATAGGTGTATTAAGTAAATTAGTAAAATATATTTCTTCGTTGGCTAGAGTTAAAACAAAGTAACTCTGGTTTCAACCAAGAATGTTGTCAGATCCTTTAATAGTACTTTATTTTCTCTTTCTACCTTATTGTTACATATATGTAGTTATATGACGTTTATACGCGCATTGATAACAAAATGAATTTTTATTTTCCCTCTTTCCGTCTCCATTTGGGTTTAGTGTATGAAAACATTATTTAGGAGAGCTTGTTTAGGCAAACTAATTACAGATCAAACAAAAAAATAAACCGAAACCGATAACGTCAGTATTGGTTGTGACAATGCTCTGGCAGTTCTGGCTGTCATTTGGTTAATCGTTTCATTCAAGCAATCGTGTGTGTAGGAAAGGTAAAGCGATATTCCTAAGTTTCCCTCTCCTTCTCACTCTTATAGTACGATTTCGTTGCTTGCAACCGACGGCGGCCCGACTCCAAATATGTCTTCTATTCTTTCATTTCCCTTATTTTATTATTGCCATTCTCCGTTAGCAACGAAAAATTTGGGTTTTCGGTGGAAAACATGACTGAGGGCCACTCGACTTATGTATACTCTTTTGATGTTAAAGTTCTTCAAATATAAAATCTTATATATGTAAATCTCCTGTCACGATGTTTGTCCGCGATGGACTCCTAAACTACTTAACCGATTTTAAATTAAATTGGCACACCGTGAGCAGTCTGGTCCAACTTGAGAGATAGGATAGCTTAGATCTTTAATTATAGTCGCAATTTTATTTTATTGCTAATTATTTGTCTATAATTAATTGACAGTCACAATACATAGGATACTTTTTATCCCGTTCGACATACCAAAAATCACATATAAAGTGAGTTACTACCGCTATCATAGCATTTTAACTAAATTTTTGTGGTTTTGGTGAATTGAAGTGAAGTGAAGTTTTTTGTGGTTTTGGTGATGGCTTCGTTTTATGTAACATTTCGACAGCGTTCCCGTGTGACGGGAAATCTTCTGTAAAAATCTTCTGTACGCCTATTAGTCATTGAACTCCTCCTAAACGGCTGGACTTTTATTCCAGGGGCTTAAGGATGGATTAGATTTACAATATGTTAAAAAAAAAATTTATTATTTTTATCGGATATATGGCTTGGGAGTTGTTACAATAATAAATTTGGGAGTTGTTAAAATAATAAAATTTTTAGAGAAAAGATAATGATACAAACAAACAAGCAAACAAATTTTACCTCTTTATAATAATTGTGTGAAAGGTAAAACTATTTTAAAAAAAACCAGGCGAAGCTGGGACGGGCAGCTAGTATAGGGGAGGGTGGTGCGATACCGACCCCCTAAATGGCAAAGGCGATAAAGGTGAGAAAAATCAATTTTTCAGTTCAGTTCAAAAATTTACTATGTAGAGGGATCAGTTTACTATACATCTAATTGATTAGTAAGTGCGTAGGTGCTTTGAAGCGTTAGATATTCAGGCAAATATAAAACTCCACTTTTTGGTCGTACTCAAAAGTAGTGGTCCGAAACCGACCCCCTATTTCTTAACAGAAACATTTAATAACATAAAATAGAATTTAATGATTTTGACGTTTTTTAAAAAATATATTGAAGGTTCTTTCCAGAAAATAAAAATTAATGTATGAAATAAAGGGCACTGTAGTCAATTGATGAAGTCTGAGTTGTCCTCTTTCTCATAGTAAGTTTTCGCGTTGTTTTCGCGTTGTTTTTCGAAAGCCGCTCGTTGATGACTGTCTCTTCGCTTTCTTCTGATGTGTTTTGATGTTTCTGTTACTTTTCTTTACTGAATGCTGCCAATAAATGGGGGTCGGTTTCGGACCATCACTTCGTGGTCGGTTTCGGACCACCACAACCTTTTCTAATTAACTGCTCGCCATTATCTAATGACGCAAAGAGCGATGAAATTCTAATAGCGTGAATGACAGCTAGGACTATAAACTATCAGAAAACCTTACCCTCCGATTTTTATGCGGAGAAAAAAAACTTTAAAAATATTTAAGCTCAAGTTCAGTAAAGAAAAAAAACTGAATGTCGCAGGCGTTGAAACAAAACAAACGGAAAAATTGCAGTGAAACAAAAGAAGTCAAATTGGCTATCTATCTCCAAAATGTCTGTGTTATAACACCTTTTCACTGAAGTTACCGACAATTCGGCTAGCATCGCCATCTCTGAGAAACATGGGGGGGGGTCGGTATGGTACGACCGGTCGGTATGGGACCACTCTCCCCTAATATATAAAATATAATATAAAAATATATATATAATATATAAAATTCTCGTGTCACAGTTTTTGTTATTTCAATTCATTTCATTTCAATTTCAAATCATTTATTTATATAATATTAGCCACCGATGAAAACATCTCCTCCATGTCACCGATGGGTCGCCGTCCACTTTATCGACAACAAGGCACTTTTGGAACTGTAGGGGTGTTATTGTTGGTAATAGGGTGCGAGGGTGTAGTCGATATTTTATAAAAAGTGTATATTTTTCTCCCCCTGTCGGAACTTGCATACCCTTTAGTATGTGCTAATCAGGCTGCAAGCCCACGTAAAAGTAAATAACAAAAATATTATCTGAAAACAGATAAAAGAATCAATAAAATTGCATCAAATTTTAATCAAACAAGATAAATTCATCTGAATTTACAAAATATTTAACCTTAAAAAATCACTTAAAATTAGAAATAAATAAGTCAAGATAAAAACAATGTAGATCAAATGCGAAAAGTGTGAATATTTTTTTTTTTTTTTTATTATAGCTTTGCTTTTATTTATTTAATCTACTCATAATTTTGAGACTAACAATAAGTTGGCGAATCTTAACATTAAAATTGAACTAACAGTATCCCTCAGGTCGGTCGCTGGGTGGGTAAGTCATTGCGACGAAGGCGTGATTGGTTGCTCAACCTTGTTAGACCTCTCGCCAGGTGGTTAGGGTGCACCGATAGCTTGGTTAAGTACGTTACCTTCTGTTCGGCTATCACTTCTTTGACTGGTAGAATGTTTAAGTCGCGGTGTATGTTTTCGTTGCGAACGTACCACGGTGCCCCGGTGATTGTTCTCAAGATCTTCGACTGAACTCTTTGAACTATGTCAATGTTGCTATTGCTGGCGTTCCCCCATAACTGGGAGCCGTACATCCATATAGGTTTTAGGACCGAGTTGTACAGCAAGACTTTATATTCAAGGCTAAGAGATGACCGAGCGTTGATAAGCCAATAAAGGCTGCTGGCTTTTAACTTTAGGTGTGTTCTTTTGGCTTCAATGTGCCGGCGCCATGTGAGTCTTCTGTCGAGATGTACTCCTAGGTATGTTACTTCGTTTGCTTGTGGGAGTAGGGTGTTGTTTAGTGTAATCGGCGGGCAGTTTTGCCTGTTCAGAGTGAACGTAACGTGCTTGCATTTTAGTTCGTTCACTTTAATTCGCCAATCTGACAGCAACTTTTCAACAGCAGTTGCTTGAATCGGGCATTTTGAGCGGCTAAGAATAGCTGTGTCATCGGCAAACGTGGATGTTGTTAGACGTGTGCTTGTCGGGATGTCTGCTGTGTACAGGACATATAAAATTGGTCCTAGCACGCTACCTTGAGGAACTCCAGCTCCAACAGTGTAATCGTCAGAAATAGCAGTGCTGCACCTCACGACAAATTTTCTGTCGTAAAGGTAAGACTCTAAAATCTTGTGGGTGCTGTAGGGGAGCATTGTCTTAATCTTGTACATTAGACCTTCTAGCCAGACTCTATCAAATGCTTGAGAGACATCTAAAAATATGGCAGTACAGTACTCCCGTTTTTCGAACGCGTTCCGAATTTCGGATGTTATCCGGTTGACCTGCTCAATTGTTCCATGCTTTTCACGGAACCCAAATTGGTGTGACGGGATTCCTTCCTGGATTCTCAGGTATGTGTTTATCCGAGTCATTAGGCATTTTTCAAAGAGTTTGGATAGGCAAGAGAGTAGGCTTATAGGTCTATACGACGTGGGGATAGTGTGGTCTTTCCCCGGCTTTGCTATCATTATTATAATTGACTTTTTCCATCTCACTGGAAAGTGGCCAAGTTTTGCGATGGCATTAAATAGCTGGGTGAGAGTGCAAACGGCACAGTATGGGAGCTCAATGATTATTTTGGGAGTTATGAGGTCGCAGCCCGGGGATTTTTTCGGATTCATTTGTCTTTTGGTGATGTTAACGATTTCGTTTGGGTGAAACTCAATTGGCTCATGTTGAGGCTGGTGTTCATATGATAGAGTCGGCAAAGTAAACGCATTGGTAGCAGGATTTGGTTGGAAGACATTTTTAAGATGTTTGGCAAACGTACTGGCTCTATCTGCGTCGCTGCGCGCCCACCCGCCTGTGGAATTTCTAATAGGCATCACGGTTTCTTTCGGTGAACTCAGAGTTGGGTGAGCTCTCCATAGTGAGTGTTTTGTACTGTTAGTTGACAATTGCTCTATGTAGCGGCGGTGGACATACGTTTCTTCTTGCTGTAGAGCTTGATCAAGTTGACGTGAGGCATGTTTTAAGCGTTGCTTAGCAGATCTGTGACATTGCCATTCTCGACGTAAGCGTCGCTTTTCAAGGACGAGCTGTTCGATTTATAGATTTGTCTTCTTTTGAATGCATTGTGTGTTTATAGTTTGAGGTGTTGAAACTCGAGCTGCAGAGACGAGTACAGACTCCA